TTGCTTACATTCCTTAAATTTATCATGTAATTGATTTCTATATTAAATAAATGATATATATTACTCTTTAACTTGTGCTTGACAACTTAACAACAACACTTCATCAAAATGATAATACATGTCCTATTGATTTTTATTGGGCACATTTAACTCTTTTTGAATTAGATGAATAATATTTTTAAGGAAAATTTTTGAATCATTAATCCACATAAAAAAGGATTAAAATCATATCTTCCATCGAATATAAGAATATAATTTTGGACATAATAATTTATCCTATTTTGTTTAAATATTTCATTTATTAATTTTTTTTACTAACCTAGCCATTAACAGTGTTTACTCAGCAGGGCTCTTAGGCAATATGAGAGTTTGAGGTTTGAAAATAATAACATTTATATTACTCTACAAACCAGCTAAGAAAGAAAAGACACAAGATTTAAAGAGTGGTTCAACCGAGTGTCTTATGTCTTCTACATAGAGAGTCCGAGAAAATATTCACTATTTAAGGAGACTAGAGTGCAATGGATGAATCTTAGTGAGTGCAAACAATTTCTCCAAGAGATAAAGAAAGAGTTATAATAAATTAGTGGTGAGAGTCAATATGATGTGTGCACTTTTGCTTAGAACCCTTTATGTTGTATTTATCATAGCGCATTTATTGGAACATGAGCTAAGCCTTCAAAAAATGAAGTAGATCGAAGTGCCCATTGTTCGCATATTCATTGTTATAAATAATAAATATGAAAATTATAGTATGTTTACCATTTAGTGTCTTTTTCTAATAAAGATCCTTAAAACTATTGTACATGAATCTCCTTAGAGGGATTACTATGCTAGATACTATCCTAAAAGATACCAAATTATTGAGAGTATACCAGAGAGCTTGCCCGAGAGCTCTACTTTGCAAATAAAAAAATCCCAATATTAATGATTATTTTCACATGAATCATAAAGGTTGCTTTTGAGACTTGAACAAATTTTGAGGATTAAAATCCCCCCACCCCTCGATGTTATAAATAATAAATATGGCAATTATACTATTTTTTCCCATTTAGTGTCTTTTTTTAATAAAGGTCACTAATAATATTGCACATGATTCTCCTGAGAGGAATTACCATATTAGATACTATCCTAGAAGATACCAAACTATTGAGAATATATCATAGAGTCTGCTTGAGAGGTCTACTCTGAAAAAAAAAAAAATCTCAATAGTAAAAATTCCTTGCACGTGTACTATGAGACTTGAGCAAATTTTGAGGGTTATAACCCCCCCCCACCCTGCGCGCGCGCGCACACACATACAAAAACCTCTTGTAGGGCTTTAAAATGTTTATATTTTGCCTCCTATCCTTCACAAACTCGTTGCTCTCTCAAGGTTGTTATTTAGATTCCTCGTTGCAAAATTTCCCCCTTCTTTATGTATATTGAGCAAATAAGGCTAAAGAGTCTAGGATGAAATGAGAATGCCCAAGATACTTCCAATCTTCTTTGTGAATCATGTTTCTATATCTTCCATGGAAAATAGTTAACTCATGAATAATCCAAACCACTTGATTCGAAACTTGACGAGGATGAAGATTTGGTTGAGGGGTTTAGATTTCTAGTTTAATAAGTTCAAAACACCATCACCACCAATGAAGATGGTGATCTATTTAAAGAATGCCATTCACTGATATAAATCCATTCCTTGTGACTTTTGATTTTCCCCTTGAAGAGGGTGATGATGATGAACAAGATGAAAAATAAGATGATGAAGCAATTGATTCATCTTATTGTTCTATCTTCCCTTCTCATGATTGATGACATAGCTATAGAAAGTGGAGACGTTCAACCCCTTGTCTAGATGGTGAAATTTTTTTATAGATCCATAAAGAAATAAGTGAAGTTACAATTAGAAAAAAATTTAAGTCAATAATTTTTAATAAGTTAAAAGATCTCATACCTTCATTCTTACGTACTCCCTTCTCTTTCGGCGATGTGATACAAATAGGAATTGCAAGGAATTAGAAAATTTGTTGTAGAGATTGCCACTCTAGGGTTAATGTATCACAATATTTTATTTTTGAAATTCTCAATTGTAATTTGCTTTGGCATGCGATTACAAGCTAGGGTAACAAGACAATTAAAATAGTAATCAAGAGTAAAGTAAAACTAGCTATGCCGTAACAAGAATCCATAGATTAATGTCTAGAACATGCACATTGAGTTTCCTTAACTTATTTTCTTTATGGCTTAGCAGAAGAAGAAGCTTAGCACTATTGACGATGCCACCAAAAGATAAAGGGAGTTTACGAGACCGTCCAGAGAAAAGCTAGCCGGAGTTGGAGTGGGTGGACGATGTAGAAGTTGCCTGTGGATTGGAGGATTGTTGTCGTCGATGGCGTTCGTCAAGGAGAAGAGTATTCCGTGATCCATATCCGGATCGGTCGTGCATAGTAAGAAATGAACCAAAGGGAAGTGAACCTTCTTCCTTGGATAGTATGTGAAGCAAGAGAGCAGGGAGACAATGGGGAAAAAGGGATTGAGAATTTCGGCTAGGGTTAGGGTTGAGGTTCTCTTGAGTTTGCTATTAATTTGGTGGGAGGGACATAACAAAATCTGAAGTTTTAATTCAGAATTTTAGAAGGGACAGGGAGAAAATTTGAAATTTGAATGTCCACTACTTGAGGACTAGGTGAGCGGTTTTTCCTTGGAGTGGGAGGGCTTTGATTGAAAGCCTTAATGGGAAGCAATTAATGAGATAGGGAGAGAGGGGAGGGCCGGCCTAATGAGGAGGGAAAAAGTGTCCACATACAATGTATGTGGACCAATGCATTAATTGTTGATGGGGGAATTAAATCTGAAATTTAATTTCAGATGGAGGAGATTAGGGAGGTTTCCTATCTTGGGTTTATTGATAAGGAGAGAATTTGAATTCAAATGATTTTGAATTCAAATAAAAAGGAACTTTCCAAATCAATGCATGGATACTTTAGGAAAGTTTTAGGAGGCAATTTGAATGGGAAATCCAAGGTTGGCCCTAGGTTGGTCGGCGGCTATGGCTATGGCCGGACAAGTCGACGGCTAGGGGAGAGGATGGATCTTGGGCCGATGGAGGGATGGGTTTGGCGGTGGGGGCTTGGACCGTGGGTTGGGATAAGAGGGAAGGCCGGTGGTGGAGGGTGGTGGATGGCCGACGGGTATGGGGGAAAGAAGAAGGGGTTTTGGCTGTAGGAAGCAAAGGAGGAAAGAGAGGTGGAGGCTTGGGAAGAGAAGAAGAAAATCACGAGCTCGGATCCCTTCGGCTGTTGGTGGGTATTGCACTTCCCTCTCATAGGGATCTCACCAAATTCCTCTCAAGAACACTCAAAACTCAAGGGAACAAGAAAGTAGTAATTTTTCCATTCACCAATAATTCAATACAATAGAGAGGACCCTTATATATAGGCCTCAACATAACAAAAGAAAAAGGACTAAAGTGTCATCCGAGCTACAACATCGAACTAACTACCCATAGCGACAAAATAGGAAATACTGAAATATAAAATAAATTAATACATAGAATGCATAAAAAATAAAGGCTCCTAATCGTAGCTGTCGATCTATGCTACCTCCTCTAATAAACATGCTAGAACCTCCTGCTGATGTCTCCATCATTCGGTGGTAAAGATTTGTGATTCGAGAAGAAAGTGGAACTGTTAAGATGAATTATTTGAATTAAGTAAGATGATGAATACTTGTAGGATGAGTATGGAGCTGTCGAACAAAGGGGTCTTTCTACTTCAAACAATAAAATGCATGAATATGTTAATAAATTGTACATCTAAATAGGAGTGAGATGATCTTCTAGACAATCTAAACAACATTTAAGATAAGTTTTGGCTAGCTAATTCAGAATAACCCGACTAACAAACAGGGGTGAATTTTCAGAAATAGGTTCATTGTAGTGCGACTCAGATACCTTTCCTTGAGGCGCTTTTAAACCTTGGCATTCCAGGTTTACGTTTAAAGATGATAGACGATATTAAAATGATGGTTGCCCGGTACAATGTTTCTAGTATATCAACAGATATTGAAGACTATGCAACGACAGAGAGAATTATTAAAAAAGATAAGCATTAAAAAGTTGAAGGTAGTGGAAACAATATTTCTCTAGAGTTGACCATCATACCATCATAGGATTTCATAATGTATATTTTTTATGTATTTTTTTCAAGATTTATCCTTTTATGAATTAATGATGTTATTTCTCAATTCCAACTATTTAAATTGGGCTTGATATTGAATTTGAGCAATATTTTCCCTCTATTAATCTTTAAGAAAGCTATAAAATTGATATTTAATGATACAAGGTAGGCTTTAATGCATAAATTGTGAATGTATTCCCTTAAAGATGTATGATGCATTGCATTATGTACTTGGTTTCTTGAGAATGATTCATCTTGAGATAAGTTTCTTGATTCATTAAATATTATAATAAAATTTTCTTAATATCCATAAACATTATCTCGGCAAAAATTTGCATTCATGATTTTCATGCTGGTGCTCAAAATTTTTGTGATGATAAATAATGTGGTGTTATGATTGAGGTTGTAGAACTCCGGAAAGCGGGGAGTTGTAGAAGCCGTTTAAGGCTTTGTTTGGGATGGCTTTCTTATTGCTTCTTAAAGCAGCTTTTTAGTAACAAAAAATTATTTTTTGTACTAAAAAGTTGTTTTAAGAAGCAATAAGAAAGCCGTCTCAAAATGAAGCCTAAGATTGAGGTTGGTTGGTTGAAATTTTCTTACGTTTCTTTGTGAGGCTTCATTGTTTATTTAAAATCAGTATTTATGTTAAGTGCTAGTTAAATGCTTCAGAAACTTCTTGGTTGCACATTCAGAACGATTGAGATTTCAGGAAATTTGCAATTGCTAATGATATGATTTGCTTGAACTTATAATCAGAAACTAGCCAGAATCAATCATCCTTAATTGACTCTTGAATGTTAATTAAAAAATTTAGCAAGTTTCTGTCTTTCGCAGGAGGGTGAAGCTTCTATCACTAGAGGGATGTTCGAAGATAACAACAGAGGGACTGGAATCAGTAATACTGTCTTGGAAGGATTTGCAAAGCCTCACAGTAGTCTCCTGCAACAGCATCAGAGATGATGAAGTTAGTCCTGCTCTTTCAGGTTTGTTCTCTATCCTCAAAGAGTTCAAGTGGCGACCAGACTCCAGGTCTGTTCTTTCCATGAATCTTCAAGGAACAGGAATGGGGAAGAAAGGAGGAAAGTTCTTCAGGAGATTGCGTGGCTGAACCTCAATTCCTTCCTTCCCTTCAAAAGAGGTCGATCGCAAGGTTTCGGTTATCGATCGAATCTGTTTTTAAGAGGAACGGAGTCTTTGTAAGTGATCGAGAATGTTGGTTGAGTTCAAAGCTGAATCTTGGCCAAGCACACAATTTTGTGCTTCTTGATGTGGTAAAAAAGTAGAGTTTTTTTTTCATTGTTGCAGGTAGAAGATGAAGAAGAAAACTGTTGTTTTTTAGAAGGTTTTATGCACCTTCCATCAATAAATCTGACAGAATGTCTTAATGAAAGATATTTCATGATAGCATTTAGATGTATACATATATAATACGTTAACTTTGATGGTTTATGCAGTAACTCAAATACTATTAGATCATCTCCAACCATTCAGCAAACAATCTAATGGAGGCCCTCAAACGTCGCAACCGAACGCCTTTTCCTCCGCCATTTGATCGCGGATGAACAGTACGACGCCAATATTGGGGTCGCACTGTTCATATGTGCCATTTTTTTGTCTCTACCGAATTTGCGGAAGAAGACGCGAAAGAAGATAGCGACGGTTAGGGGACAAAATGACGTTCGATTGGAGATAAATTATAACACTTTTTGGTTTCATTACATTTTGGAGTGAAAAATGAGATTTTATGTTAGAGATGCCCTTAGTGCGGAATGAGGGAAGCAACTTTTGTTCCTTCCCTATGTTTTCTATCTAATTTCTTTCAATTTTCTTGCCAGTAAAATTTAGAACTTTGACACTGCATTTACAGGTTGTGTTGAATTGATTCGTTTCCACTGTAGGAATTATGCGTGAAATTATTTTTCTGCAGGACTAAGTTCGTAATTAGGAATGACCTTAGGAGAGTAGAGGTATTAGATTTGATTATGTTAAGAAAGGTAGGGGTAGACCTAAAAAGACTTGGTTAGAAAATATTAGGAATGACCTTTCTTTATTAGATTTAAACGAGAATTTGACTTTTAATAGGACACAATGGAGAAAAAGGATTCATGTAGCCGACCCCACGTAGTGGGATAAAGGCTTGATGTTGTTGTTGTTGTTATACTAAGTTCGTAATTACTGCTATAGGTGTAAATGAAACAAGTCAAGAGGCGAGCCGAGCTCAAGTCATTCCTGATTTGAGCTTTATTTTGATTAATTAAATCTAGCTAGAACTCAAACTCAAGCCTTATTTTATGAGTAAATGAGTTTGAGCTGGCTCATTTGCTATAAGAATAAGAACAAAAAAATAATTATTAATTAAATAATTATTATAATAAAATGATTAAAAGAATGATAAATAAGAAAAATAATAAAAAATAATTTAAAATAAAAAAGTAATATAATTTTTAAATATTTTTAATAATTTTGAACTTATATTTTAAAAATATTCTATACTATATATTTTTTTAATCAGTCAACTTACAAATTATAATGAGTGATTAAGTTTAAATTTAACTCATTAGATCATCTAGCTCAACTCAATACTCGCTTTCAGACTCGCCAACTCTTTGAACATCTCCAGCTTGCTCTCAAATTGAACAAAACTTTATACTAATAATTTAAGAAAAGAATCAAATTGATCCCAAATTTTAGTATGGATTAATTTAATACATAAAAATATCAACTTAACCTTTTGATTTTTAAATTTCAATGAAAATAATATTTTCATAAAATTACTTAGATTCCTACTTAAAAAATTAAGGGATTGACATCAAAATTCTAAATAATCTGAAATAGAAATAATTTTGTTAAGAATTATGGGATCATTTTTAAACTTAATTTAATAAAAAAAACTCAATTTTTTTCCAGCACATCAGAATAAAAATTACATCCTTGTAATCACCAAGAGATAATATAATTTCAATCAATGAAATTTAAGAAATACTATAAATACAAATATTTTGTAATACGTTTATCAAAGGGGGAAAATTTACAATCATTGATTATCATACAGTAATACTTAAAAAAAATATATGTGATGGATCGCAAAATTTATATTGGATGCCTGAAGAACTTCATAATCTTATTACAGCAGTTAAGCAAAGTTGAATTAACGATAAAGCAACACTGAATGAATCAGTTCTTTATCCAAAAAAAAATCAAAGAGAAAATAATTTACTCCGCAGATATGAGCAGTTGTGCTTCTAAAGCAGTACAAAATGCTCCTCTTGACTAAAAAACCCAAAAAACAAAAGCATGTAACCAATGCTTCAGCTGCAACTGTCACCTTGGCACCGATAAACCAACCTCTACAAGAAATGTACAAAATTGTAAGCTACATTGAAAAAAAAATATATTTATAATCTCAGAATTTTGAGAAATATTATATAAACAGACTGAAACATAAAGAGAACAATATGCGATTTCAGCTTTAAAATTTTGAGTAAAACTTGTTTACTCTAGAAGGGGCGGCGGCAAAGAGAGAGGGAGAGGAGTGGTGTCCACTAAAATTTTAAATTCAAACTCTTTGAAGGGAAAGGAGGGGGCGGGCAAGGACTCCTTAGTCATTTGACTTGATTAATTAATTGTATGACAGAATTAGGGTTAGCGTTATATTTTAATTATTGAATTCTCTTAGGTTTTTCTTCTTGGAGTCTTGGACTCTAGATTCATCGTCTAGAGATTAGGAAAGATCAATCCTCCTCTCGAATTGAGGATCAATTGTATCTTGCTTTGATTCTTCTTTCCATTAATTTAGGGTTCAGCAATAAAACTACTATTTGGTGTTATTTTCCCTCAGATTTTATGAGTTTGTTCGCTCAATTTATCTCCATTGATAGAAAAACTTGAGATCTATAAGTATTTCCTATCGAAAACATGCTTATCCATAGATTAATATTATTAAACTAAACAGGGTAATGGATGATATAGTAGATTTGGCTGATGAAAAACAAGTGCAAATAGAAGTAAGAGCCCACCTTCAGAAAAAGAAAGGAGTTGAAGCAAAATGTATCACGTGCCCTCATTTCCATCTGGAGAAAGGTCGACAGTGTTACCCTTCAAACTCTTACAAGGGTTTAAAAAAGTCATGCTTCCGTAATAGAATATGCGCAGAGGATGGAAATTTTCATATCTACCCGACGCAGTCATTACCAAATTATGTAAATGTAGTAATGTACTCAAGCAAAATGCAGCACAAAATCATATGGTTTTCATATAAACAAGCAGGCTCAAGTAAAAGTTGTAGTGTTTGTTGCATAGGTTGAACCATCTAAACCTACATTGGATTCTAAATGTTCTTAGCATAGAGATTATGTCTCATCAATATGTGCTTCAATAAATACTTTTAAGTAATAAAGCAAGCAAGTATTACAAAATCATTCATCAAATGCATTTGAAGAGTTTTAAAAGTATTTCAATTATTCTTTTATGGTGTACTACCATACCCCTACTTGTATATCCAACTAAAAATTGTCTACAATTCATAGACTTATCAAACAGGCAGAATATCCCATAAGTCCAAAAGTCAATCCTATAAAGCACCCTTCAATGGGAATGCAGATTAAGAAAATGATAATAAAATGGAAAATAATGCCAAATCTCATATATAAATTGAATCTAAATTTGAGTTTGAATCATGATGTGACTTTATAACAATAAATATTAATCAATGTCTTCGATTCTTCTATTTTCACCTGCTTTTGGTTTACATTCAGTACACCATTTTCACGAATTATTTAGATATTAGTATTGATCAAGTTTCATAAGTTGTCAATGAAAATGACATCGTGTTCACTTATGTGATGCCAAAAGACATATATGTCAATGATGCAAAATGGTCCGTACCTTGGCACATGGTGCGGCGCATCAAAATGGTGTGCGCTATTTGCCAGATGCATGGGCAATGGTGTGTGGCGCAAATAATGCGCGCCATTTTATTGATATGTTATAAATTTCAAATTATAAATTAAAATTATAATTTATAAAGTTTATATATTAATATTAAATTTTTTAAATTAAATATCAAATTAATAAATAAAAATAATATTTTATCTTTAAGCTTTTTTAGGAATTAAAGCTTTTATTTTTATTATTTGGTAGGATTTAGGATAAAACATGTTTAAATCTTGCTCAAATATATCAATATAAGGTTATGTAGGATTTAGAGTTGTTATTTTTACTGTTTGACAAGATATTTATGCTTAAATTTTGCTTAATCAACATATTGTTTGTTATTTAATGGTATTTTGTACTAATTTATATTTTTAAATTATTTTATATTTTGTGTCATATTTAAAATGACGTGCACTATGCCGCGTGTTGTGCCATGGCTCCACGAAAAACTTTATGTTGTGACGTGCCATTTAAGATTTAAGGGATTTAATGAAACTATATTTACTAAATATCTTCAAATCCCTCAAATATTTCGATCAAGAACTAAAGAGTTTAGTGATTATGTCGGATTACGAAATTGGGAAACCGAACAGCACTACCATCAATATTTATTTAACTCTATTAAATCCTACTTGAATAGAATTTATCAAATCCAAAATTACTAAATCATAATTTCAACCAAACAACCCCTTTGCTTTATGAGGTATATGCAAAAGTTTGCGAACACATGTTAAAGACATTAAATTGGCCTTTTACATGTTTATACGTACTTGCAATTCATTATTCTTCATTCTAGAGTCTAATTCTTAAACAACTGCAAGAATGATGAGTCTCTTAGATTGTTAAAGCATAAAGCAATCTGCCAGACTTTTCTTTCACTTTTATCCCTTTCTTCCATTACTTTCTTCATCTCCTTTTCCTTTATCATAATTAATTGAAATTTGAAAGTTAGATAAGCTACAATCTAATTTCTTTTTCCTGCATGAATTTTTTTTCCTTGTGTGGCCTTCATGATCTTTATTTTTTCTTTATTTCTATGAGAATCTAAATATTTTAACTTGATTGGAATTATGAGCAGTTTTGATTTTCAATGAATTTGGTAAATCATTGTTTTGAGATTAATAGTTCATTTTAACACGAAATTTGCAAGCTTGCTATTTTGATAGATCACAACCAAATATATGCCGCATGATAGTTGTGCATCAAACCCTAGCCTAGAGCATCTGAAATTGTTGAGTGCCTGAGTATGCTTAAATGAAGCTAGTTGATAATTAATATAAAGAGGGAGCATATGCATTATCAAAAGACTATAGGATCACGTACTGCTATGGATATATACTTGAATCAAAGAAGAAAATGTGACAAAAGAATGAGATAACATAAATAGAATGATGCCTTGGTTTGATAACATGCCCTCAACAGTGAAAAAGCTATCCTTAATAAATTAAAATACACACGCCAGGCTTTCCACCTAATCAATACACATTTCTCTGTGGCAAAAATATTTGCAAACCATGAAGTTATATGCACAGTTTTCACTATACCTATGAATGATTAGTCATTATTACATGAACAAAAATGTTTCTTACAATCATACTTGGTAATTTGGAGAGCAAAAGGCAGGAACTTGAGGGCAAATTTATCATTTCAAGCACTCGATAATTCATGTGCCTGCAGGAACCAAATACCTTTGTTGGTTGTTTCAGATCAGAAAGCAGATTTAAGCCACTTTTTCCCCATATAAGCATGAAAGAAAATTTTAAATTTTAAAAAATAATAAATAAAATTCCTCCAAATTTGATAAAATAGCATTTTCATCGTCACAAATAACTACTGATATGCTGACCCAGACAGATCCTATGAATCTAGATAAAATAAGACATGATAGAATAAAGAAAAAACAATTTCTGGATCCATCCAAGAGAAAATAGCGTCGCAAATGAATGGAAAACTTCGCTTTTTAGAAGCCACTAAACAATATTTTTCCATTGTTTTCATAATTACTACAATAACTTGTTCACCGCACGAATAAAGAAACAAAATCAAATGTTCCACGTAAATAAGATTAACTTAAAGCTAAAAAAATGTTGATAGTAATTACTATTGAGTTTCATACACATACAGGCTATGAATACAATATTGGGAAAAAAATCACGATTATTTATGCCTTATTACTCTAACATAGTACTTAATATAGCTCTCTCAAAAGTGTAAAAAGGTAGTGATTCTTCTAGTCAATTCATTAACAATAAGTTATTAAAATCTCAACCCTCAAACTTTCTTGCACTAAATGGAGCAACCTGTGGTTCCTTGACTACCAAGTATAAGGGCACCATTTTTATGTAGCCAATCGCTCTCTACATGGCCTCTCCATGATTCAAGTTTGCCATCCTAATATTCTCCTACGCTTGGTCGAGAACCTAATCCCCTCATATATTGCCTTGCTCAACTTTTTATATCAATCATCAAACCAAACTTAATAAAGTTAATAATACTATGAACTAACCATTCAAATATTCTCACTCCAAGACAAGTCAGGTGATATTATAATCTTCATTAATAGACTGCTTTGGGATCACAAAACCTCCCTAATCACACCGCCTTCCTAATTGCTGAAAGTTTCAATTCTCAGAAAGAAACGATGAAAGAGGGTAGACAAAAAAATGCACTACAAAATGAAGAAGTTGGCTTAAACTCAATGCCAAAAAAAAAAAAAAAACAAGACAATCCTATCAATTGAAAAATGAAGGAACAGTAGCAAGGTAGAAAACCATAACTTCAACAGGATTGTTGTACAAACTGCTTATCTAAGATAAAGCTAAATCTAAGTTGCAACAAGGCAAGATAAATGGATTAAATCAAATTAGAAGCTCACTAACTCACTGGAAACAACTACATACAAGATCAATTATCAACATAGAAGCACACTACCGCAAAAAACAGATGCTACCCATATACCTACAAAAAACAGAACAAAACTATATAAAATAGACAAACAAGGATAAGGAGGACCAGTATCACGAGACAAAGGTTTCACACACATACCTTGAGATCCCACCTTGAACATAAAAAGCAATTCAAACGAGGAAAAGGTTTGGATATTTGAAAAATAATGTGAATGATGTTGCAATTATCATACTATTTGATTTGGGTATTTGAAAAATAATAAGTAGCAATGTTGCCAGTGCTCAAATAAGAGCAAGCCTAGTTCAAATAAAATAAGTTCAAAACCAGTTACACTCACTATAGAAGCATGTAACTTGATGTGATAACTAAGTATACACCTTTTTTATATACTAGTTAAATCACAACAAATGATTGGCAAGCAATGATTATTCAGTGCATTAGAGCATTCAGATTGACTTAGCAAGGCTAAAATCAAGGTGTCAAGCAAAAAAGAATTTTGCATTGAAGCGTAAAGCTCAAACAAAATGTCCCCTTAGGTTAATTGAAGAGCACATATGCAAGAACGTTACAAATATTAAACTATTTAAAAAGCGTATACAAATCAAAATTTTGAAGTGAGCTATGGAATTTTAAGTCAAATATTAACAAAGAAAAATATCACTAACTAGTAAGAAATAGCTAACGAATGGGTCTGAGTGGCAAACAACTTAGACACGTAGTATATTAACCCAACATTGAACCGTTCATCTTCAACCAAGGAGGAGTCAATAGAGCATTGCATGCTCTACAAAGAAATGATAAAGATTGCAATTTGCTGCTTCTACTACAGTTTATGGTAAGCACGGTAATTTGAGGAGCGTTGCACAACACTTAAAGTGCTTGCTTTTGTGTTTTTAATAATGTCTTTGCAAATGAGAAACAAAGCAACTAACAATTTTGCAATCAACAACCTCGGCCTAGTTCTATAATCAATCCACCCACACAACCCCGCCCCCCAGGTCCCCAGGTCAACGTAGTTGTACTAACCCCGCAATCAAATCTAATTGATCACTTTTAATGCCAATAAGATCAAACAAACAAAAGAGCTAGGCATTTTTTAATGGAGAAGCAGGCGGCAAGTAGGCAACATCGATGTCAAGGTATAACTAGTTACGGAGCAGTTGAAAGACTCACTGAAAAACCAACAATATTAGAGGCCGGGAGAGGTGCGGCAGAGGGTACCCTGTGAGATATCTCGACAGCTCCGAGAAGTAAAGCTCAGCCTCGACGTCAGCCTCGCCGCTGCAACTGCGCTGTGCAGCGGATACATGGATCCAGCACAGGACCCCAATTCCACTGGAGGTCTACGAAAATGAATTCATAACCGTTATAAACTTCTTGTAAAAATAATGTGAATGAAATGACCTAAAACTTAGTATCTGAATAAACCACCGCGAGAGAGCACGGAATCGGTGAATGGGTGAATGGAAGGCGGTTCCGGCGTCTGCCCCAGTAGCGGTCCGGGCGTATCCAGCGGTGGAGGAGTTTGTTGGTGGCGGACGCCGACCGGCGATGTTTGCTTTGGAGACGTGTGATCGTAGAGAAGACAGGGAGCTGCGATTCAGAGATCTGAGGCATGTGGAAGCCATTGAGATAACTTGGATCGAGGAAAAGTAGAGAGTTGAGAGTTTAGGGTTTCCGAAAGGGGTCTTGCAGTTTAGAGAGAAAAATCCTATCGTGGATGCACTGGTTTTTGCAAGGGTTTTATGCTTCGTTTGGGGAAGAATTATGGTGTGGGGACTGGGGAGTCCTACTTAGCTCTGCCTACATATATCCAATAAAATTGTGTGATAGGTTGATTGTGCACTTGAATATTTATTTGTATTTTTTTGTTTTTCTTTTTTTTCTTTTTATCTTATCAGCCCGACCGACCAACCCATTCCTCATAAAAGTTTGAATTGCGGAGACATTTCAATTTTCACAATAGCACTCTTTTTTTTTCTTCGGCATTCATTATTCTTTTGCATCTCCATCATTTGATCACTTTTCACCTACGCTAATGACTTCATCTTATAAAAATGTTAGTCTGTTATTTGTTTGCTGTTTTATAAGGTAGTCATGAGATGTCAAAACAAATGTGACCGTCATTTTCAAAAATGCATATAAATTTCATCTGAATTGTGTGATAAATGTGTATGAGCTAGGTATTTATTGCATATGAACAGGGGCGGAACCAGCCCTAATTTTTAGGGGGGGCAAACTTATAATGCATATAGGTTGAGGGTCCAAGGGGGCAGCACTCCCTGACGGGTTCGACCACTGTTTTTAGGGGGGGCAATTGCCTTAAAAAACTCTTGTAATAAAGGCTAAAAATTGAATGAAGCTGGATGGATAAATTACCTAAAAATAATTTTTTTTAGGGGGAGCAATTGCGCCCCCTACCCCACTCTGTGTAAAAATTGTTTTTTTTTTAAATGACCAATGAAATCTATTGTGCCTATTCAGAAATAATAAATTGGGAGCATTTCTTGAAAAGAACTCAACTTACAAAAAAAAACTCTATACCATCAAAATTTATGGTGGAGGCACTAGAGTTTCAGATCTTAATTTTTTCAACCAGTATCTTTGATACAATATTCAAAGAATATTTTGAAGCAAAATATTTGTCATCCATGCTTAAAAACATCCATTTTCAAGCCCCAACTAAAACTGCATAGTAACAAATTGAAGACAATAGCCAGAATGGTCGAAGGCGATAACAAGAAAGGCCTAAACTGAAATAAAATTGATGGAAATTTGTCATTCATCTTAAAACTCAAGATTAACTTAATCTGGCATTGTTCGACATATTGAAATGAACATATATCCTTTATATTAAATGATTCCTGAGAAGCAAATAAATCAATCTCTGACCTAAAACTTTTTTTATTATTTGATCATTTATTTATTGGGCGATTTAAATGTTATAAATAACTGAAGAAAAATTGAATAAGCAGTTGCCACCGTGCAAACATTGTTGTGTGGCTAGAGAACCGTAAGGCAAAAATCAAATCATTTGGAAACGAATCAGTCAAATATCTGAAGCAAAATCGCAAAAGAGAAAAAAGAACTTGGCAACGAAGTGGAGCCGAACTGTCGAATGGCTGGCTCGTGGATGATCGTCGTGCGGAGAAGAAACCTCGAGTCGGTGACTGCGAGTCATGTGATTCCTGTGCCGGCTGCCGCGCGAACAAGAAGGGTGAGCGACTGAGCGGCTTATTAGGGCAAAAAGGGGCAAAAGTAAAAATTTAGGGGGGGCAAATTACTTAAATGCCCTAAGCTTTAATTAAAATTTTATTTTTGAGAGGGGGCAATTGCCCCCCCTGAGTACAATATAGTTCCGCCAGTGCATTGAAATTATCATGAGCCAAATTTCTTAGTCGATAGGGTTTGAATTGACTATTTTGATTAGATAGGGCTCAAAATAAGTCTGAAATTATCATGAGGCAAATTTCTTATATTTATGACTCAAGTAAATTTTGACTTGGGCATGAATTGAATAGTGCTAACTCATGATTATCTATTTTTTAAGTTGCCTTTATATATATGTATTTGTGTTGTACAAATTGATCGTATCCTCACCATTGCATCAACTTGGCCTATCAATGTCACTTTAGATATGGTTTGTATAGCTCACTCATGCGTTAGTTTTACTTAGCTCTCAGTACCCAATTATTGAACTTGTTATCAAATACGTTTACTGCCCAAGTCACTCTTTCAAAAGATCTTAGTTACTCGTTCAAAATGATTGCCACCTATTAAGGGTTGTTAATAGAACTCCCCCTAAGATTTTTACAAGGAGAACCCTCACATGGTACTCGTGCTTTTGCCTGGAAGATTGCTGGCAATTTAGCTTAATCACTATAAGAATGTCTAAATTAAGACAATTTATGTAATTTTGCTTGTTATTTTATGTAACATATCCCATGATAATGACATTGGTGTCACAACCCGGCCTGACATGATTGACCAAACCATACAGGTCATACCATAGCAGATCGTGGCAAGAAGCAGAGACTGACCCCTAGATCTAGTTGCAAAAATATTGCGAGACTGAAACATCCAAATGATCATATACTACACAAATGCACTATAAATAATTTTGTTGTATGTCATACAAAATACAAATATAATATGAGGAATATCTACAATAGTGCACAACAAAGAAAACTAAGATATCATTTGAGTCCTCTATGATTCCAAATAAATTATACTAAATCTCTGAACTTAATCTGTATTTCTCTTCATTGTGCTCAATCATAATCCATGAAGATTATATTAAAGATGGTATGATTAGTTCTTCTTTGAAGGTTAATAAGGTTTCAAAATGTAGTGGTAGATTTCAATGAAGGATGATTAAGGCTTTCCCTCGCTTAAAATTAGAGAGCTAAACAACCCAAATTTGGCATACGATTGAGGATGATCGACAAAATCCCTCATAAAAGAAGTAAGACTTGTATCACCCAAATTTATCAAATAATTGTGTGTGATAGAGACTATCTATCTTCTAAAGAAAAAGAAAAAAACTAAATGGCCTAAATTTGATAGTGATGAGGTAATATAGTGTATCTCCTAAAAGAAGGGTAGATTACATCAAATGTAAATTATTGTCTATGTTATGGGCACTTAGATTTTCTAGTGGAATTGACAAATTTTTTCTCCTAGGGTTATATCTTCATTAATGCATTAATTGATATTTGTATAAAGATAAACATTAAGAATGCTTCATATGTCAAATAAATTTGAAGTTGATAGTTATTCATTTTTACCCCATAATCATTAGATGATTTATCATGCCAGCATTAAAGGAAGTAGATATGTTGGTGTAAGAGGTTGTTATTTATTTGTTTTAGTTGTGAGTGTAAGTGATAACATTACGACTAAAGTGAAGCCTAAAAAGAGGAGCTAGGAAATCATCTTAAGCCTTTAGTGCATAGTTCAGGGTTTATGGATGAAGCCTAAAAAGGGATCTCTAATAATTTTGCATAGAATTTAATATTTTTAATAACTCTATAGTTACTTACATCATATATGTAGTAAGTTTCATTGAGCATTGCAAAGGATCTTAAATATTACATAATGTTACATTAGAAGAATATTATGAAATAATAGATTTCATTGAAGAATATTTAGAAAATAGTCTTGATAATATTTGGGCTAAGAGCATATGCTTGTAATTAACTTCTACCGAGGCTCTCTAATTTATACAAGCCCAGAAGGATGAATATTACACATTTTTAAAAATATCATAGTATTGTTATTTTAATGCTTAATTGATGATATAAGCATTTGTTAAGAAGTTAAGTTGTCCAATAAAATTGTGAGGCTTAGTCTACTATAGGACGAGTTGGGCCAAAGTTTATATTACCTACATGTATGGGTCAAGTCATTATAATTACTATCATAGCACACTACGGGAAAACACGTGAATACCGGCGAATTTTTTTAGACGGTAATAAACGGCGTACTCACCGACGGATTTGTTCGACGTAAGGCTTGCGTTAACATTACCGGCGGAACATACGTCGGCAATTCACCGACGCCGTGTCCGCCGGAAAACCCGACGGTATAGGGATGCCTGAACCATTTCCGTCGCATGTTACGGCGGAACTATTCCGGCTTATGGTTCCGGCGGATAGTACGCCGCCTTATTTAAACTCAACGAAACAAAAACGGCGGAGTATACGTCGGAAATAATTTATCGACGCGGCCGAAACCGGCGTATGAAATTCCGCCGAAAAGTCCGACGGAAACTCATTATTCCGTCGGATTATTTATGTTTACCGACGGATGTTGTCCGCCGGTATTAACGGGTTTTCCTGTAGTGGCAATACCTCCTATGTTATGTATATGATTTAAGGGAAAATCAAGCATGAACTGGTGGACATATGACACATTGATTAAAACATTATTTGACAATATAAGTAAGAGAATAAAACAACTATTCCAAGACATCTTTTGGTGTAGTGAGTGAAGTTTTAATGAGAACTCTCTAGTTAAGCTTGCTCGTAACATAGCATTTCTAGGATGTATGATCTCTAAGAAGGAAAAATAACGAGGTTCAATCTTGTGTGAAAAAAATAATAACTCATATAATATATGTTGGTTCATTGCAACAAAGTTTCCAAATTGAATTTGAGAGCCTCCAATTAGGTGTTTTTGACATTGCTTAATTCTAAGAAGAGTTAACTTAATTACTTCATATTTTTATTAGCTATTGGTGACATATACTAATGAAGTGATGTGAATGTGTATTCGGTTAATGAGCGATCATATGCATTATTGGTAAGATTTTAGGTGAAATGTTGGTTTAAGAAATGATACTACAAAAAATAGGACGACCGTTATGATCAGTTATAGAATGAAGAAAGAGACTATGATATAAGCCTTGAAGGAGCAATCATAAGAAAAGCAAGATTGCACCACAGACATGTGGATGATGCTTGAAATGTAATTGAGGTTGTAACACAAGTTTCTAGGTGATGTTCATGACACAAGGTTATGAAATGGATTTGGAGGCGATGAATGTAATACAAGTAGGTCTGTAGCATAAGCAAAATTGTAATACAAGTCTAGAGTCAACGTTAATAAAGCAAGAAAGATTATGTGCGCAAGTTTAGAGGCGATAACTCAGGTGCAAGCAATGTTATGATCCATGCCTAATGAGTGTGCGCTCTTAATATTAATGAGGGATGTAACTTTATTTTAGCGAAGGATACAATTTTATGATAATGAAAGATGCAACTTTATAGTAGTGATGTAGGTGACTTGTGTTCTTGAATGATAAGGGTTTATATTAACACATAACACCTAATGGGATTGGGAATGTATCATTCAACCATAATTAAAGGTCTGCAGATATCTCATCTCAATGCTCACGAGAAGAACCTTTTAGGGGGTTTACCCAAGCAGTCATCTCTATTCCACTGAAAGGAGCTATCCTACAAAAGAGAGAAAAGGGTTGAACCCAGCCCATACTTATGCTCATTTGGCTTTTATTTTGGATGAATGAATGATAATTTTTATTATAAATTTATGATATTTTGAGTTTGTATAATCACTAGAATAAAGTTGTTTGTTGTTTAATATCTCTTATACACGAAATGAAATATAAATTTTTTAATACACTAAAAATATATCGAAATAATATTTATAAATATCTAGCATAGGTGCATTAGGTAGAACATCAGATAGAAGATGAGACGTACTTGCATTTTGGAAAATTCAAGAAGGGTTGTCAAGCTCGTACTTTAGCTGAAATACAAAAGAGGCCTCAAATTATTAAAAAAAAATTCAATGTTGGCGGAGAACAAATTAAAACTTATTCGAATAAATTATATATATAATTTATTTTTTTATTTTTAAAAATAAAAAGATTAATTTATAAAATATTCAAATTAACTTTTAGGTATTTTAATATTTTTTAAAAATAATTATCTCTAATAGTTGTCATCATCATTATTATGAGCCACTCACGGTCATTATTCCCTCCCAGGGGTGTCAAAATTGATTGACGGGTCGAGTTTTGGTCCGACTGGTGACTAGAATCTAGTCAACTTAAATCCATCCCGTTTAATAAATGAGTAAAAAATAACAACCTGATCGAGCCCACTAGCAACCTGAATAACCCGAGTTCAATCTGTTAATCCAATTTAGTTAAATTTTTTTAATAACTTATTAACTATAAAAGTTATGATATTTGATAAAAAAAATAATAAATGTATAACCACATATAAAAAAATTAAGGAACAAATATGTTAAATAGATCACTTTTGGAAACAAAATATGTTCGCGTGTCAACTCAAATTATGACCCATTTATTAAACATGTCAATAATAACTCGAGTTTTTCGGGTCAAATTCAAACAGGTTGGCTGAATGGATCATTATTGACACCCCAGATATCAAAGTGATCCCCAAATCAACTCATAAATAAACAAAATAGGATATTTTTAAGATATCAAATTTATTTTAGTGTCTATCAAAATATAAATAAACTTAAAAAATAAAAAATAAAAAAGTGCGGTCTTAAAGCGCCCTCCTTAGTTTATAATGGTTATGTTATCAGAAATAAGTAAATAACTATAACTATAATAAAAAAAGGGCAAACGGTGAAAGAAAGATATTTCACATTTGAGCAATTATGATTAGAAATAAAAACGTATTGAAGCGTCAAATTGAATAAAAACGTTTAGTCCAGCTATTTATTTCCTAAACCCTAAAAACGTTTTGTCGAGCTATTTATTTTCTGACAATTTCCATTCGCCTACTTTCGCCTTTCGAAGAACCGACTCGTTCAGGCTTTTATCCACGAGATAGTTTTACGCGGTAATCGCATCTCCGTCCTCTCGGTTTTGATTGCTTGTACATTTCTGTTCTCAATCTGCCATTTTTATTAGAGATTACTCTAGGTTTTCGTAAGGGGCTAGGATTTTTTGGCCTTTTATGAAGCTTTTCCGACCTTCGAGGTCATGGCGTTGTAATTTCAATCATTTTGATCGAATTTTGGTTTTCCATATGGGAGGGATGTCTTCTTCGCTTCTCGCTTAGGGTTGTTTCGAATCTCTTTAGATAATACTCTCTCTTGGGCTTCTTCCTTTTAGGAAGTGCTTTTTTAGACTCGGTTTCTTGCTTTGGAGATGCGCCCTTTATGAGAATTTTTTTCAGTCGTGACCTGTATTTTGATTAGATCTATTTTTTGTATGCCTTGCTTCCTTCTATTTGAAATGAATTTTTAGGTCTTCCGTTCCTTTGTTATGCTCTGTTATGTTAGGTTCTTCTCATAACTTCGTTACTGTAGTTGAACGAGAGGCTAAAGTTGAGATTGGGCGATGGCTGATGCTACTATGACTACTAGCCACATGTGCTACATGTGTCGGCAAAGAGTGAACCCAGTCTTGGAACCTGAGCTTAAGTGCCTTTTTTGCGATTGTGGATTTGTGAAAGAAATAGCCGGAAGGGAGGCGACTGAATCTGAAGATGCAGGATCGGGGAATGAGAGTGATACACAAGCATCCAAGAAGAAAAGAGCGAAAAAGATGTTGACAGTTACTGGCAAAGGTCATCATGTTTCTCCATCAAAGTCGCACATTCTAGAAGATGTTTTGAAACATCAATATGTTGGAAGTCGACGAATTGAAGAATTGGTGAGTTTTCATTTTCTTTTTTGCTTTTCTTTTCACACTTTTATAATAATATATATTCTTTACAATTTTTTTCTTATTGTTTCAGAAGCTGCGATATATGAATGTTGAAATTGAATTAACTAAGATCTTGGATGACTGGAACAATGAGTTTATGAAGATTAAATATATTCAGGAAAAGTATAAGAAGATGTATGATGACAAAATCAATGAGATGAAATTAATGGAGGAGCAACTAATAGAATGCAGAGCAGAATTGGCTATTATGAAAGCTTCAGCTTCTTTACATAATCAACAAATGAATCGCCTTCATATTAAGTTGGTGGATACACCAGCATTTTTAGTTACAACGTATTGACTGCGTAGTTAAAAAAAAATTGTGTTTAGTTTATTCCCTTTCGACTCATTTTTGGGTTTAGGATTTACTTCGTCATAATTGCATGTTAGTTGTTATGTATTTACTGCGTATTTTATTTGTATTTACTGCGTGTTTCCTACTTGTTTAGGGTTTAGGACTTTTGCTTCGTATTTACTGTGTATAAGTTGCGTATTTTATGCATATTTGAATCGTGTTTCTTGCCTATTTGATGTGTAGTTATTACATATGCGCTAAGTATTTGATGAGTATTTATTGTGTATTTGGTGCGTATTTGATGCACAACTGCTACATATTTTATATATATTTTTTAGGGAGATTTACATTCATACCACCGTATACTATTTTATTTACATATTTAACATCTAAAATTTTAATATTACATATATACCACCCATAGTTCATTTTCATATCAAATATGAGTGGTAGAAATGAAATATATGAGTGGTATGAATGAAATATGAGTGGCATATTTGATATTAAAATAATATATAGTGGTACGTATGTAATATTAATATTTTGGGTGTTAGATTTGTAAATAGGATGGTATGAAGTGGTATGCATGTAAATTTCCCATTTTTTTATGTATTTACTACATATTTGCCGCATGTTTTTTGTGTATTACTATATATATCATGCTTTTTTATTGTTATTTCATATCTATGTTTGGTCTCTTACTTTTTCGATGTTATGTATTAATTTTTTGAACAATATGTGATGTCTTTGTGGAGAAAATAAACCTTGGTGTGGAGGACACCTTGAAGAGATTAAACATCTACCAATTTTTGAAATTCCCTTCTTTGAGCAGAAAGTTCCACTGATCTACGAGCTTCTCAGACTGTTGGATATTCCATGACAATATTTTATAATAAAGGGTCATACGAAACATTTAACAACAGATGAAGTGATCATTCTTATTAGACTTCCAAATAGAAGTCAAGAGATCTCCTAGCATAGCTCTCCACTTACGGGAGTCTCATCAAAGGAATTAAAGAGTGAGATGTTGGAGTTGAACAAATAAACCGCCCAATCCACTATATTAAAAATATTTATTATATATTTGTATTCAAATTAATTTTTCTAACTTAACAAACTTCCAAATCCTTAGGAGGTTCGAATCAATACTAATTGATGTAAATGTTTTTTTTACTTATTAACTAGGCTGGGTCAATTAGAAAATTTTTAGTTAAGAAAGTTTCAATGAAGATTTCAATGTAGAAGTCAGTTAGTTACAAAAATGATTTTGTGTCTCTCCTACTTATGAGTACTAAGAGCATCATTATGATTTTTAATTCATTTGCTAAAATTACGTTTGATCTTATACATATTTGATTCATAGTTTACACTTCAATATATGCCCCAAAATACCCTAACCAAATGCCTCGTTTCTTTCAATGGGGCGATGATATTGTATATAATTTCATGAAGGTCTCTAATTTATTTATCACTTTAAAAGAAAGACATGTAAGTATGTAGATTTGTCATGTAGCAAATTTCAATTAATATCTCTAAAAAGAGAAGAATTGATATTTTCTAACAAATAAATTATTTGCAATTTTTTTATGTCCTCTTGGGAGTTACCCAGGAGGAAGCAGACACATTGCCAAGCATTCAGAACTTTCGAACACATCCTTCCCCCTTCCCCTCATCAAATATCTTCTCCGGTAGCTAGAAAAAAATTCCCCACCCACACACTTCAATCTCCCTATTAACCCCCCTCCCCTCCCAACCCCAAATAAATAAATAAATAAATAAATAAAATCTCCTCCACAAGCCCGCTCTCCAACTACATCAGCTTGGTATGATCTAGAGGATAAATTGATGACATCACTCTAGGATACATGCTCAAAGTTCTTCTATGAACTTGAAGGTAGACTGCTTGTTAGGTTTGAGCAGGGGTGTCAATTTTGGGTCACGAGTCGGGTTCGAGTCAAACCTGGAACTAATACGGGTTCAAACGGGTCAACACTAATCCGACCCGGATATATAAACAGGTCGAAAATGCAGACCCGGACTCGACTCATCAGGTTGCGGGTTGACCCGACCTGACAGTGAACGCGGATACGGGCGGGTTGAGTGGGTGTGCGCAGGTGCATTTAGGCTCGTGCGGGTGCGAGCAGGTGTGTGGGAGTGCGTAGTCAGGTGCGGGCGCGCTTAGTAGGTGCGCAGGAGCGCGTGGGCTAGTGTGCTGGCAGGCGTGGACGCATGTGCGGGCATGCACGGGTGTGTGCACTGGTTGGTGCGAGCGGCGGACTGGCAGACGCTGTCGTGCGGGCAGCTGGTGGGCAGGGCACGGGCAGCCAGGGCAGTGCGTGCAAATCATTTTAAATGGGTTTGCGGGTTGACCCGATAACCCGTCAGGTCAACTCGAACCCGACCCATTTTTTCAAACATGTCGAATTCTGGAACCCGAACCCGACCCGTTTTGAAATCGGGTCGAGTCAAACCCAAAATTTCCAAGTCGGATTTTCGTGTCGTGTCAAATATTGACATCCCTAGGTTTGAGCATCTAACACCAATATTAGAAAGAATTAAATTCAAGCTGATTCATCATATTGCTCAATACAAATTTGATTTAGAGTAAAGTCCTGCTTCATCTTCCTCATCCTGCTAGCAACCCATCCTAGCTAAAGAGACACTTGCTCTAGTTCAAATCAAGCAGGAAAATGTACCAATTCTTCCTCTTTTCATAAATCAAGAGAAAGTCGTACTTGATATTGACCTTCATGCTGCGGATGATCATGAAGAGGAATTGGTAAAATTTAGGAGGGATCGGAAGAACCAGAGAATATGGACCCCTGCCCCAACTGAACCAATTAACATTGAAGACATTCATATAATGTTTAAACCTACAAGTTCAATAATGGAATACAAGGATAGGGAGATGCTGAGTAAAGAGAAACTTTTTTTTTTTTTTTTATAACTGTTTTAAAAGTTTATTGATAAGTTAACTATGTAACAATGCATTAATAATGTGTATTTTATATATATTTATTGTATATTTACTACATATTTACTGAAAATTTTCTGCATATTTCATGCGTATTTACTTTGTTGCATGTTTGACCAAATATTCTCTTGTGGGAAAATCCCAACAAGCAGAGCCGACGTTGATGAAATTATAGTAGATAAATACATTGATAATAATCATGTAGATTCCTTCGCTTTATTATTAAATGAGAAGAATAAACTTAGCCCTGACAGATACCATAACTTTCTATACTTCTTGCCCATGCATTGGGTAAGTATACAAATAATATATATCATTTTCCATGTCCTTATTGACTTCTTGTAGGGATACAAGCAATTCGACCCTGCTGCAAATTTGTATGTCAAATATATCGCTAATGTTGTTGTTAAGTCGTGTGGTCTTCTACTTCAACCAGTCATCCACAGTGGGCGCTGGACCCTTCTGGTTAAGACTCTGAAGGAACAGAAGTAAAAATTTTACTATTCCTTATCCAATGCCCAACACAAGCAAATTCTTTATAAAATCAGAAGTGAGAGCAGCAAGCATTAAATTTTTCACATGTGACCAACCAACTAATATTTGTTCGTTATATTGTTCATATTTACATCAAGGACCAACCTTAAGCCCATATCTTTTTGCTTTAGTCATGCATGTTCTCACTAGACATTTGCAAGAGTTGTCCCCTGCAAACCCCAACGAGCATGAAAGACTAAATTGAGGTCTGAGATAGCAATACAACTTGATTGATCGATACAATCAAATTCAATACAAACTAACAAAGCTTGATGCAAAAGAGAAAACAATATTTTTCTCTTTTTATTTTTCTTATGGTTAATCGTTGTGAAAAGTTTGTTATCAAAAAATAACATTTGTCAAGCATTCTAAAGAAAAATGGGCATATTTGAATCAAAAGTACCATATTCAAGTTATGCTAGATTGCTGCTTTAGATCGCAGTTTAAAATTTTCATTGCAACGTAGTTTGCTTTTCCGTTAATACATCCAGAAAAGGTTATCTAGACAATAAAAAATCATGGCAATGCTCTTATTGCGTCTATATAGCAATTCTGAAGTCTGAACAGAGCCTAAAGTTTGTTTGTTAATTTTGTGATTTATTCTATTATGTTGATTGACACAAAATAAAGTTAGTAGTGTTCCTAATAGAGATCTCTGCTTGCTTCTCATGATTGTTGTTGTGTCTTGGAATATTTGCAGCGATAGAGAAATATTTAATTGAAAGTCTTAGCATTGTACGAAGATCCAGCACACAAGCAGATAAGAGAGAGTGCGTAGTGTTCATAAGAGACACCAGAATTTTTACGTTGAAACCCTTAAAAAGGGGGGAAAACCACGGGGCATGGCCCAATTTGAATGAATCTACTAGTATTTGCAGTTGATTACAAATGAGGCCCTTCCTTGGGAGAAGACCTTGGCTTGATGGTACAAATGTACATCATATAAAGCACATTACATGTTGGAAGTTACAATAATCAATATAGACATATTATTTTAGTTGAAAGGGCCATAGTCGGCATGAGATAGGGGTCCGAAAGACCGTAGTAGGCAAGAGACTGGGGTCAAAAAGAACGTTGTCTGGTGATGGAGGTCCGAAGGAACATAGTAGGCGACGAAGGTCTGAAGGATCGTAGTCGGTAGGAGATCGGGGTTTGAAAGACCGTTGTCTGGTGATGGAGTTTGAAAGGACCATAGTAGGCGACGGAGGTCAGAAGGACCGTGGTCGGCAGGAGATCGGGGTCTGAAAGACCGTCGTTGTAGGGCGGTACTCCGGAACTCTAGCAGTCAGGTAGTGGTCCGGCAGAAGTTCGGGCCTTAGGTGGTGGTCCAGAATAAGTCTGGACCTCAAGTGATATATAGTTCGGCAGAAGTCCAGGACTTAGGTAGTGATCCGACGGAGCAACAGTGTCAGGCGGTGGTCCGGTGGAGTAACAACGTCAGGCAGTGGTCCGACAGAGATAAGGGCCTCAAGTGGTGGCATAACCCGTAAATAGGTAATAGATCAAGGGTAAATGGGGAGTGGTTGGATGGACGGACGATATTGAATCATTTGATCATGGATCGTTCATCAGATAATTGAAGGTATTAATGATGTTGGAATTTTTCGATATTGGGCTTGTTGGATTCGTCTCATCGAGCCGCTCGATTTGACTATAAGCACGTCATGTTTGGAAACCGTTTGGTAATCCAAATTTTAGTTCAAACCTTCCAACAACCTTTCGGGTCCTTGATTTGGACTCATTTGGGCTCGGATTGAGTCGAATTTGGTGTCGTTGGGTTCATATTTCTGAGATGTTCAGCTTGACTATAAGTTTGCTGAAATCGGAGTTCGGATGGTTCCAATTTTAATTTCGGAAGTTTCCAACTTGATTTTGCATCAAGACTCGTGCCCGATCAAGATAATTTTTTGATGACAAATCAATTGTGATTGTGAAACCATGAAGCATACATACAATATAATGTTATTTGAATAAAGATTACAATGTACAATGAAGAGTAGGAAGTGCTCCTTTTAAATAAGTAGATAAAATTAGTACCAAATGATTAAGAAGAAATATTGGTTAACTAAAGATTAGAAGGATAGAAGTTATTCAAAATAATTTGTAAAGAATAAGATCACCACCATAGCCTGCACTTAATGGGAACATATAAAAATTATGTATTCATAATGCTGATCTCAAATGGTGGCCTTGGATGATGCTAATGATGATGATTTGAAAGGATTATCGATATGAGGCTTAATGTAGCCCAGTTTAAGCCCTACTATCACTTATAAGTTCTGTGTTAATGAGATTACCAGCGCAAATTAATATATAGTGTTCATGCGGTGATATTGTCCTTCATAAGACGCCTGACATTGGCAAAGGCTATTGCAGATCACTGCTGCATGAAGCAATACTTCCAGCTTGCAGAACTTGGAAGCAATAAGCAAGAAACGTCAGGCAAAGAGAAAGCAATGGGTGAAAGAGAAGGCAAGTAACGTCATGAAGCAATACTTCCATTATGTTTTCAGCTTTCTGTTCCCATTGAAGGTGAAAGAGAAAGCAATGGGCGTCCACTATGCGTGGAGATTTTATCATGGCTTCCTAGTCTGATCTACGGGTGAAAAATGCAAGCTCTGCCATAAAAACTGCTAGCAATGTCCTTAATATATAATCATCTTGAATTTTGACTGTTTAGGCAATCATAAAGCTATTCAAGATTGGAAAAGTAAAAATTAAGAGCTTTATATTTATATCAGGGAGCTATTTGAAAATTGAAATCTAGCGTACGACAGAAATAGTTTTATTTAACTGCCCTTTGTGCAGCTGCTTGACCAATCGAAGTAGATGGAGATGGGACCATAGTAGTTGATGAATGACTTTATGCCTGCCAGTGCCATGCATGGTTGCTTTCTTTTCAAAAGAACTGCATGTTTGTTTCTGTTAAATTGAGTACTTAAAATGGTTTTTGGTTTTATTTTCTTAGGCTTAGTTTTAGGCAACTTTCTTACTGATTCTTAAAGTGATTGTTCTAGATTGCCATTTTAAGAAGCTAGAAGAATGCTGTCCCAAACGAAGTCTTAATTTGAGCCTTTATATCCGGATGAAGAGTTTCCAGTGGTTGTACGGCTTCATTTGGGATGTCTTTTTTTGCTACTTCTTAAAATAAATTTTTAGTACAAGATTTTAATTTTTGTATTAAAAATTTATTCTAAGAAGCAGGAAGAAAACAGTCCCAAACAAAGCCTACTTCTGTGGTTGATTTTGATCCATATCCTTTGAAGGAATGTGTTCCATAATCTCACTCCAGGTACGTTGGCATTGTTCTTGATGTGCCAACTTTTACATTATTTGTTCTTTTAAAATAAAAAAATTATGTGTGGTTATCAAGATGCGTGCTTGATCAGCTTTGATTGGCGTGTACATGGTGTATATAGGGTCAACAAGCCTTATGTGTTGTGTGGGGTCTGCTTGAGCTCAATATACACTTTGCTTTGATTCTAAAATTTTGGATTATGGTCGTTGTAACTACTTTCAGCTGTTATTAACATTATTTTTTTCATTAATACTTGTGATTGTAACATAGTAATTAATCTTACAACTTAGGTTTCATTTGAGATAGCTTCTTTATCGTTTTCTTAAAGAGCTTTCTATTACAAAAATTTATGTCCTAAAACACTGCTTTAGAATTCAGTAAGAAACCTGTCACAAACAAAATCTTAGCAAATTTTATATAGAATAATCTCTTCAAAGTACTAAGATAAATGTGGGTGCAATACCCATATACATGTATATGATAGGAACCGAGAAACAATAAGCAAGTCGACATTAGAAAATGAGACACATTGGAGGCACGTCTGTCTGGTCGAATCGCATATAATAAAGAGGTTTTATCGAAGCCAATCAAAAATCAAAAGTATACAATCTTTTATATAATCCTTTGAGATGTTGGTATAATGCAAAAAGAAACTACAATATGAAAAAAAAAAAAATTTGTAGAAAGTTGTATGACCAATGTGGAAATCAACAATTTGCCTTGATCTATAGAGATGCTTTCCTGTTAAAGATTCCAAAGAAATGAGAGAGAACTTCAAAGGCAGTTTCCTTATTTGAATGAAGAATTCCACATGAATAAAATATTTCTCTAGTATAAATATGATAAGGAAATTTAACATTATCTTCCTCTTTAGAAAGTTAAGAACACTTTGGCCTGTTTTATCTAGCTTGTTTCACATACTGTGGCTTCAATTAAGCAAGCAGTGTTTTGAGATTAAGAAGATTTTTTTTCCAAACACTCAAAAATAATGCTTTGTTTGAACCATGCAAAAGGATTACTTTTCAGAGTTTGTTGTAATTTATTGCAAATATTTTGCAGTTGTTTCTTTATTTTTTGGTATATATATTGCATGTAAATATCAATTTCAAATATATAAATGTTTAAAAAATTTGAAAGTTTTGTTACGTACACTTTATTTTTTATTTTTTAAAATTTTTGAGACATTTAAGTCAATTAAATTAAATTCACACACACACGCATATATGCAAGACTTGACTATAAAATATCTTGATTCATAATCAAAACTTGCTATGTGTGGATTTTGATTGTGTTGATTAATCGGATTGTTCTATTGCCTCGGACTTTGAGTTTTGTCGTTCTTACAAGGGGAATTTATCCCATGCTTTGGTTTGGCTTCTGTGTACCACAATGCCCCAGCATTGTGTTCCCGAGTGCTCTAGTGCTAATCGACAGAGAGCATAGAGCCACAACCTTTTGGATTCAGCACCGCAGCGCTACGAGACGAAATAGACAATTTTCTTTCTCATTTTTTTCAAGGGGTTACATCCCTTGCTGGATGGAACTTGCTTTCTCTTGTATTTCCTCCGTATAGACATTGAGAATGATGTATGTGAGAAGAAAAACAATGATAGAGAGAGAGAGAAATGAGAGATGAGTATTTATTTTTTTCAATTTTTATAATGAATTTCTTAACATGGTGTAACTCCGTAATTTTTTTTCTTAATTTGAGTTATTTACCATCAAATTCTGATGTCTTAACTTTTCGTTTCTTTCATTTTTTTATTTCTTTTGACACATTATTTTACTTACTCATCTCCAACAAAACTCTTAATCAATAGATCAAAATAAATCGCCCAAAGTATTGTTAGTTGCATGGAGTATTACTCTTTGCGGAGAACTTTTGAGAACAAAAGAAGCAAATTGTGCTTTAGCCGAACACCACTAAAGTAGCAAGTACTGATGCCAATAATTCTTTTTTTTTTTTTGGACATTTAGGCCAATTAAGACAAATTCACGCACATCATGCATACACAAAGACTCGAACCTAAGATCTCTTAGTTGAAGCATAAGCTCTGAACCAATAGGCCAAGATGAGTTGTGTCAATAATTCTTTTCAGTATGGCATTGTGTTTTAGTGGAACAACACTAAAGTAACAAGTACTTGTACCAATTATTCTTTGAGTAAGGGATGAGGAGGTTATCTGTGCAAATCATAAATAGGTGAGGTGCATGCTGCAATTATCTTACAATAATACTAAGTAATTATATTTTTAAGTGGTTTTACAATTATTTTTAATAGATTTTAACTATATTAATATTTTTTTTTAAAAAAAATGTTTTGAGAGCTATAGAATAAAATTGATGTTAGAGTACTTTGATCTTAGAACTTTGGCATTAATTTTTAAAGTACATCAAAAAATAGGGCAATCACAGCACAAATTTTGATCTATATCGGCGGTTATAATCGCTACTCTTTTCGTTACAGGGGTTTTAGACCGCTGCTCCGCTGCTCAACCGCTGTAATTGTAATGCACTGCAACGACATTCCGCGATGATTTATAGACCGGCGAGATAGTTTTGTCGAAGTGCTTAATTTAGCAGCGGTCATGCATAACCGCTGCAAACTTACAGAATTATAACGGTTATAACCGCTACAGATTTGAAGAAAATAAATTGATTTACAGATTTGTGGCCCACAAAGGTCGAGAAATTTTTTTAACAATGTCTTTTTTAACTCAAAGAGTTAGGATACATGATAATGATAATTTATTTTTCATAAATTTTTTCTTGGTCATACTTTTGAACAAATATTAATTTTATTTGAATAGTTTTATTAAATTCAATTAATTTGTAACTTTTTTATTATAAGGTAATCGCATAAATAACATAGAGATAAATGCATCCAATTAAATGCATATAATTATAAATTTTGCTATCCTAAGAAAAAATATTCTAAATGAAATATATGTAAGTAAATTTTTAAGCATATTTTTTAGAAAAAAACGATTAATTATATGCATTATGAGTCATATATAGTCAAATTTTTTCATAATTAGATACATCATCAAAAAATCAATCAAACAAAAAAAAAAAGACATTTATTTTTTTTTTCTATCTATTATCTAAAATATTTTAACTTATAATAATTATTAATCTCTCTCTCCATTTTTAATTTTTTATACCCCTTTCGAAAAGGGTTGCAAATGAATCGAACTGAGCCGAGTATATGAGAGTTCATGTTTGAGTTCGTTTATTATTAGCTTGTTCAAGTTCGGTTTATATTTGATTTGAGCATTATTGTTTGTGTTCATGTTTGGTTCATTTAAATTAATGGTGTTCATGTTTGATTCATGTTTGGTTCTTTTAGTGCTTATCGAGCTTTAAACAAACAAGCCTTAACAAGCTATGTTCGTGAACGTATTTAGCGAATTTTTTTACACTATCAAATAAGCACGTTCTTTAACAATTTTAATGAGTATTCTTGAGCTATCAAATGAGCAAGATTATGAATAAATACATAACTAGTATTTTCAAGCTACCAATTGAGCTCGTTCACGAACAAACAATCTATGATTCATCTTATATTTGTCCATAAACATCTTAAGCAAACAATCTACCAAACATTGACAAATGTGAAATGTCTCTTGTTCATGAACAAATTCATTCTATTGAAAGTATAAAATTGAATTTATAATAAAAATATTTGTTTATTTAAAATAAAAATATGATTAATCTATATGAACATATTTTTGGAGCTTATTCATGAGTTTTAAATCGAACATGAATAGAGCTTTTATCGAGCTTATTCACGGGCTTCAAATAATGTTATTCGCGGACATAAATAAACCGAACACATTAATGTTCAAGCTTGTTTATTTAAATATCGAGTATTAAAAATATTGTTCAAGTTTGTTTATTTAATTATTTAAACGATCACAAACGAGTTTTAATTGAACCGAGTAACGAGTAGCTCACAAACGTTTGGTTCGCTTGCTGCCCTATTTCTAATGATGGAATAAAAAAAAGGTAAAATTTAATAAAATATCATTTTCTTAAAAAAAGAGTCAATCACTTACATTAAGAAAATAAAATCAAAATAACTAAAAACATTTAAAAAAGATTGCAAACAGAAATGATGAGAAAATAGGGCCCACTTCTACGTGGGTGAAGGGTGAAATATTGGGTGTTTTAAAAACAGGTGTCGTAGGAATATATAGGGGTCCATAGGGATGTTGGAGGGAGATGTAGTTTAGGTGGAAAGCACAGTCCCCCACGAAGTCTTAGCACTCCAAAATAGTAGGGTCCACTAGACGTACCGTTCGCTCAGCAGATAATATCTCTCCTTTCCACCACCCACCAATTTTTTTTTATTTTTTTTTTTAATTTGAGGCATGACCCATATATTAAAATATATCAAAATTACAAAGACAAACAAAATCAGTTCTGAAAAAATCGGCTAAAACAAAACAACAAACTCAAAATTGAAACGAAGCCAAAAAAGCTTCCAAAAAATTACATGACTCAGGCATAACGAACCCGCCTATGGACATCGATAACCATCAAAACAGTAGAGCTTAGATGTCCAAAGCCAAACCATCAGTAGTTTCAGAGAAAATCTCCTTGGTTGCCAGCAGAAATCAGCTTAAGTGGCAAACAGGGTGCAAAGAAGAATCTGCCAAGCCAAGTGTCAAACCACCAGTGAACAGCATCCCATTGGGCATCCAGGGGAGGGACAAAAGACAGGTCCGATCATAATCGTCCCGAAAACAGCGAAACTAGACAACTAGCCAATCAAACAAAGCACGAGGGGAATGAACTGTAAAGAAGACCAGCATGGTTCCTTCCAGAAAGTTTCCGGGAAAAAGCCAGAGCTAACTTCCGGCAAAGGGCATGATGAGTGGACTATAATCCCGAAAACCTTCTATCATTTTGCTCTCTCCATATATAGTAAATAGTGTTTCAAATCACAAAATAACAGAAATCCTTCTCCATTTTGTTAAAGATGCTTAATTCATCAATACCACTTCTTCGTAAATATAGGTATTTCACAATATGTAGCTAAGATAAGATATCTAAAATTTTAATATTTTAAAAATTATTTTAAATAAAATAAGAATATATATATATATATATATTTCTAATAATTATTACACATTTTTTAAATTTCTTTACTCTTATTTTCTTTCCACATATTTTTCATATTCCGTACAACGTCCACACTTTTGACCAAGCAAACTTCTATCGTACTAACAAAGCATTAAGAATATGTAATTAATTATTTTTATCCATGACTTATATTTTAATTACCTAATAGTATTTAGTTCATACATAAATATTTTTAGTAAGCTCTTATTTTGAGTGAACGAGTAACCAATGGTTGAAAAGTAATGTTCATGACACATTAAATAATATATTAGAAAAATAGACTCATTTATCATTCGAAATTTAGTTTACATTATTTTTTATCTGAAATATATTTTATATCATCCTCTCAGCATTTTGTCATAGACTTACCCACCATTTTAATTAATTTTTATTTAATTTATTTAACATAATTAAAGTAAATATTTTATGAAAAATTGGCTTAATTACAATGAAAACATAGGCAATCCATGGTCATGGTGGGCATTTAAAAGTGGCTTAATTACAATGAAAACATAGGCAATCCATGGTCATGGTGGGCATTTAAAAGTGGCTTAATTACAATGAAAACATAGGCAGATCCACGGTCAAGTGAGCTTTTTCGGAATCCCCCCCCCCTTCAAAGAACTTTTTGCCCTAAAATTAATCGTGCACCAGTTTTGCCCATCCCACCTCCCATCGTTCACAAAACTACAGTCGAAGGCTTGAAGCCCTCTCGTTCCGTCGTTTGCAACTCGCAAGATCAGGTCCCCTTCACAATCTCAAGAGGTCGCCGGCCTTCGCCTTCTCAAATTGCAAGAGTTTTCCCACCCTAAAAAAATGGTCCGGATCCGCCCCTAAATTTATGAAAAATAAAGGATTTACATATATACCACCAAATTCTTATATATTTATATATATAACATTTAAATTTTATATTTATTTATATATTATTTAAGTTAGGAGTATCAAAATGGGTTGACAAATTAGGTTCGAGTCTGACCTAATCTTGAATCCAACCAATTGGAATCCAACCAGTCTAATAAATGGATAAAAAAGACCAACTCGAACCAAACTCACTAGCAACCTAAATAACCAAAACTTGACATGTTAATCAATTTCTAGTTAAATTTTTTTATAACTTATTAACTTTAAATTTAAAACATTTGGTAGAAAAATAAGAAAAATATACCCAGAAGTAAGAAAACTTTAAAGACAAAAGATATTAAATTGATCATTTTGAGTCAAAGCTAGGATTCATCTGTCAACTCAAACCCTACCCGCTTATTAAACGAGTTTGAAAACCCAATCTGAACCTTACCATTTACTATACGGGTCAATTGAACCCTTATTATTCCGATTAGATGGGTCGAGTCATTTATTGACATTTGATAGTCAAATTTATAACTAAAAATGTATTTTTTTTTTCATATATATATATGTAAATTCCCGCGGAAATATTGGGCATGACAGAAAAAGAGAACAGTTGATGCAATATATGGAACATAAAAAGAAAATCGGCATTGGGATTTGGAGCTGTCACATGAATCGTAAATGATAATTAGTAATTTATAAGCTTAGGACTTATAGTACACAACTATGTGGCTTCTGCCTTTTGGACAGTGAGAAAGTGGTCAATGGGGCCCTAATAACTCGTATAAATAGAATGCGATGCCTTCGCTTTGATTGTGTCCATTTTTACATATTACTCCACAATAGGTTTTTGGCCCATCTCATTTACCACTGGACTTTAAAGTGGATGTTATAAAGAGCTAGCTTCATTTATTGTTTACAATGAAAATAAATCATAAATAAATTATCTAAAAAACTTTATTATGATGTATAAAATATTCAAATTTATGGATAATACTCAATATTTTTTAAAATATTAGTTTTTCTCATACAATTATTTTTATTTTATTCATCTAGTTTTTCAACAGATAATTTTATTTTGTACATATAATATTTAGATTAAAAATAAAAAAATATAATTTTGTAATCTCTAAATATTATTTAGGATGAATGCTATCTATAGGTAAATAACAATAGATTCATGTTAAATTCGTAAAAATATATATTAAGGAATTTAAATCAATTTTTTTTTCATTTATTTGCCATTTTTAAAAAATAATATACAAAGTTAAATATTATTTAAAAAAAATAGAAAAAATGCGCGGTCACCAGAAGCACATGCAGGGTTTATTAATGCTTGTGGTTGCCGCCACGATTTTCCCTACCATCCACTTTTACCGCGACCACTCTCTCTCTCTCTCTCTCTCTCTCTCTCTCTCCAGCCCCTGCGCTCTGTTCCCTTACTTCCCTTCAAATTTCCTTTACCCTTCAAATCTCTCTCTCTCTCTCTCTCTCAGTACCGATCTTTCGGCCTCTCCAAATTACGGTCTGATTATCTCCACCTCTCTCGCTCTCTCATTCTTCTCCCCAATCAAATTGCTTATCTCTCTCTCTCTCTCCCCCCCCTCTCTCTCTCTCTCTCTCTCTCTCTCTCTCTCTCACAGTGCCTGGAGATTAAGCATGGCGGACGCGAGAAACGTGTGCTGTATGTGCGGTGATATCGGCTTCCCGGAGAAGCTCTTCCAATGCCTTCGTTGCGTCTATCGCTTCCAGCACTCGTATGTTCTCTTACTTTCTTCACACTGTAATTAATATCATTTTCATTTATTATTTATCATTTATCTTGTTATTTGTGATATTAGTACACACAAAATAATCACATAAAATGTTAAACATAATAAAAACATGTTGAAAAAATAAATAATGAGCCAATATATATCACATGATTCACATTTTTTGACAAATATTGTTGACGCTGACTATCAAATTTTCATTATACATATAATATAAATTATTAGTGGTTAATCTTTTCTTAAATTATATTTTGATAAGAATAACTCACACAAATTTTCTCCATAATTAATCGTTCTTTCTGATTATAGATATAATCAAAGCGTCTTATTCTTCAAAAAATTTACAGTTACTGCAGTAACTATTACCGCGAAGAATCATCCACCGCCGGAGTTTGTGACTGGTGCAAGAGCGAGGAGCATAGGACCCACACCCGCCGGATTGCCACCTCCGGAGCCGGCGATAAGGCCGGCAGGCAGGGCGGAGATCGTGATGAAGGAAGCGCCGGGGGAAGCCGAGGACGAAGCTCCGGTACCGGTCCCCCCTCCTCCTCTTCCTCCTCAGCTAAACAGTCCGGTCGGAGGTACAAGCTTCTAAAGGACGTACTGTGCTAAATCGTATGTAAATATAAATATATATAAATAAGATCCAGAACAAAGTTTTCTATTAAATCATCGATCATTCTTCAAATTTTTTAAATATTCATGATGAAGCTAGCTGCAGAATATATAAATAAATAATAATTATGTGGGAGCTCCTTATTCTTTTTTTTGCATTAAAAATATAAGATAGATAGTCAAAATTGAATGATATTTGATCTAAAATATAATTAAAATACATTTTCTTATCCCAGGATCAAACAAATTAAAAGGAGTGTAATTTTATGTTTTTTTTTTTAATATTTTCTGTTATTATATTTGTAAATGTTTTATATTTTTTATGAAATATTATTCAATTTTGATTATTTATCTTATGCTTATGAGGAGCTTCTGACTCAGTTATTTTTCGTTAGAATTGAAACAATTAAGAAAATGTTATTAATATATAATCCATAATTATATGCTCTTACTAATCTCATTGATATCAAATTAAGTAAGAACATATAAATTTCATTTGGGATAGCTTTTGTATTGCTTTTTTAAATAATTTTTTAGTAAAAAATTTTCAAATTCAAAAAATTTTTATATTAAAAAATTGTTTTAGAAATCAAGGAGAAAGTTGTCCCAAATGAAGCTTTAATTATATGAATTATTTAATAATAAATTTTTAATTGTTTCAATTATAATTAAACATCATCATGCATATAATAAAAATTTGATTGATGATCTATGACTTGATAGAAAAAGGAATTCGATGCTATCAATAGATATTGCTTGTAGTATTAGTTATGTACATGTGTAATTGTTGAGTAATCATTAAGCTTCTCCAAACAAATATATGCGTGTAATTAACTTCCTATATAGACTTAATTATACTTACTTAATGTCTAATTACTTAATTAGCTAGGAATGCCGCTTTGTTAATATTTTTTTAATATATAGTTCTTGCATTAAGTGTTTTTGAAAAGGAAAGTGTAATTTTGGATGGACACTTATATGTAATTTTTAGTTTAAATGTGCAATTATGATGATAAAGATTTTAAAATTTATTATTATAAATTTGGAATTGAATCTAGCATTTGTCTAATTTTTAAATTTATGCTCCCCAAAAAGGAAAAAAAAAGTACATTTGTGCATGTGACATGTTAGCATTAATTGGACCTTTAGCTCTTTCTTTATTAGTTTGATTTTTTTGTTTTATGGAAAAAATTCTAAGTTATCACAGCCTAATTATCACGCAAGATATATTAATTGCTTCTTTTAATTATGAGAGTGTAAATTATAATTGATTTGATTTTACAAAATTTTCACTCAACATATTGAAGAATAAAAGTTCTAAGATTTTGTTTGGGACGGTTTTTTTACTGCTTCTTAAAACGACTTGTTAGTACAATTTTTTTTATTTTTGAATTAAAAAAATTCTTTAAGAAGCTGTAAGAAAGTCATACCAAACGAAACCTAAATTTATTTTAGTTCAGAATCTATGCTCATGTTTATAGTCATCAAATAAATTTTTTGGTCTTAGGAAGTGTTTTCTTATTTTGGAGAAATAATTATTTAATTATTGTTTTAAAATTTACATTTTAAGCTTAAATATAAAAGTTAAATTATTAAATTTATTTTAAGATGAATATATAATAAAATTTTGATTAATTATTTAAATTTATATTATATAAAAAATAAAGAAATAAAAAATTATTGCTCTAATCTTAATCAATACTCTGACCAAATTTTTCTCCTACCAAGAAAATCAGAAAGAGGTAAAATTGGTCAAATTAGGCTCTGTTGAAAAGTTTCAACAGACTCTGATCAAATTTACTACAGATTTCCAACAGAGTTTTTCTAATTTGTTTTTTTTTTTCCCAACTAATTTCAAATAAACTGCTTGATAGGCTTTTGAACAAAATTTCAAAATAATTTCTTCTAGCATTTGAGGGTATATTTGATATAAATTTTCATAATTTTGCATTTTAAATAACAATAATAAATTTGTTTGATAATAATTTTTCAATAATTTTAGAAAATTTTATGAAGACAGTCACATTTTTACTATGAAGTGTTTGGAATAGCTTTCTCAATTAGGCAAATTAAGACAAACTCATACCCATCACACTTGCAAAACTCAAATAAGAAAAGTTTTTAATAGTCGAGCAAGAATGCAATAGATTTCATAAAAATTTGAAAAGGAATTGCATTTGAAATTTTTGTATATAACGCATTCAAATATTCAATCTCTCTATGATTTTCCTCCTAACCCTTTTAGTAGATCTAAAATACTTTGGTTTACAAAATCAAAGCCGCTGTCTTCTCTAAAATTCTGAACTGGAAAGAGGTAGTAAATCTGATGGAACTGCTGTAGCTTTCTCGGTTTATCTGGGATTTCCTGTATGTGTTTTTCCGGTAATTCTGGTTGCTCGGTTCTACTGGAACTTTGATGGTTGTTGTGTTGTTTTTCTGTGACAAGCTGGGTGGTTCTTCTCTGGTTTGGTTTTTGCTGATGGCAGGCTGATTATTATATCGGGATGGAAGAATGGCAATGATGTAAGGATTGCCATTTTCTCCTTAGGATGGCATGATGTTTTTTCAGATTTCTATGCAACCAGGTTGAGAGAGCGACAATTCCTGAGCCTTTGGCTTTATTATCTTCCTCAGCCTGTTTTTCTTTTGTGTTCTTTCTGCATCTGTTTTTTTTGGTCCTTCACTCTTTTTGAGTTTTTATTAGCAAAGTTACTTTTTTGTTTTAATAGTGCTAAGGGGATTTTGTTTCTCCCCCTTTTTTTTCTGGACCTTGTCTGTTTTGGCAAGGTCATAGTTTAATTTCTTTTCTGCTTTTATTTCTTCATTACATGTAGCAAGCTTATAGTAATGGAAATGGCTAATGCCACAATTTTCCCAAAAAAAAAAAAAAAAGGTTCGTATTTCCGAGACGCTTAGTTTGACTGTAAGATCGTTGAAATCGGAGTTCGGATGCTCCCGGATTTAATTTTTGAAGTCTCCAACTAGTTTTTGCCTCGAGATTCGTGCTTGATCAAGCTAATTTTGTGATGATGTATCAAGAATATTATTAGTATAATTCAAGTTAAATGGTTGAAATGAAGGAATGCATCGGGTAAGTTGTGTGATGGAAAAGTCTCAAACTTAAGGGAAAAAAAATTATAAGATGGTGACGAGACTTGCAATGTTTTATGGTACAAGAGAAGCATGAAATTAAGTTTATTGTTGCAGAGATGATGATGCTCAGGTAGATGAATGACTTTATACTAAGATATAAAATGTGAAACGAGTACATACATAGCAAGGTTGGAGTAGCTCCAGTGGCAATTCAGATTACAAAGAATCGTCTTAATGGTTTGGTCATATAAAACTTGGCATTTCCAATAACCCTATTATTAGAGTAGAAGCATAAGATCAGACCTATGTTAAGACAGCAATTATAGACCTTATATTAGATGTATGCCGTCGCACTGCTAGGGTTTTGCGTCGCCCTTCATTTCGAGGATGGTTGCTGTCTCAGGGAAGCTTTTCTTCTCTAGTTCCCCTATTTTTTTCTAGTTGTTTTTTGTTTTTCTTATCGAGAATGTTCGCCTGTAGGATCCCAATTTTCTGAAGGGTTCCTCTTCGCATCTCTCATTTAAGGATGTCTTGTCTGGAGTTTCTTCCTCTTCGTTTCCTGATTTGCATGTTTCTTCTCACCGGGGTTTGCCGGCGCTGTTGATTTATAAGGCAGAAATTTGTTCGCTTGCTGCCCCATTCGAGTTTCCTTTGGTTGGTCGGTTTCTTGCTAAACGGTCTTCAATCGATGCCATTCGGAAAATTTTCTTTAATTTGAAGCTTTTAGGTAAGTGTTCGGTCACGATTCTTAACCCTATGAATGTTTTGATTAAACTCGTGAACGACTTTAATTATTGTCAGATTTTCTCTCACAGATCTTATTTTGTGCATAACTGCAACATGAAAGTGGTGAAATGGTCCCCTAATTTGGATGTTGAGGTGGACTCTTAGGTTGTTCCCATCTAGGTTTCCTTCCTTCACCTTAGGCCCCATCTTTTTTCTCCTAGGATCCTTTTCGGGTTGGGTTCTCTCTTTGTTCGTACAGTACTCAAGTCAGATACTTCTACTGCTTCGGGTTCCCGTCCCTCGGTTGCTCGTATTTTTGTTGAATTAGATGTTACAAAAAATTACCCGGATAACATTTGGATAGGTTCTGTGGAATCGAGATATGTTCAAACTGTTATTTTTGATGATTTACCACATTTCTGTAAGCACTGTAATTCATTAGGGCATTTAAAGGATATATGCCATGTATTACATCCCATTCTTAATATTCCTAAATCTGTGGTTGCTCTGTGCATGTTGTCTGGATTGATTGTGAAGGATGATGGCTCTAATGTTGTTCTTAACCGTCCACTATTTTAGTCCCCCAGTCTGAGAATGCTATCCTGGGTGGTGTGGTCGGTAGTCCTGTGGTTGCTGATACTGTTTTGTCCCCTGATGTCTTATCTTTTGCTCCACCAGTTATTGATTTGGGCTCCCCAGGTCCTAATTCGATTGCTTTTTTGCATGTTAAATCAAATATTGGTATTAGTCCTGTTGATGAGGCTGTTGCAGGTGTGTCCTCTGCATGTAAAACTTTGTGAGGATGTTGTTGTTGGGATTTTACCTTCTTTGGTGTCCCCTCGGGCTTGCAATAGTGTTGTTGGTAGTCCTGGCTGTGCTTTAAATGCTATTCCCTTGGTTTCGGAGGTGTCTGCCCCGACCTTTTTGGCAGGTTATTTTAAGAATCCTGAGGTTGTGGATCACCCGATTGGGTCTGGCACTGATAGTGGTGGTTTAGGTGGGTTGGGTGTGAGGGATCTGCTGATTCTAAGGCTTGTACCCCATCCATTTCAACTCTGATGAATGACAGTTTAGTTCATAGTTCGTTTGTGGATGTGCCAGTCAATTTTATTGAGCCTCAAGCCTTGGTATATCATGTGGGGGACAATTCTGGATTGGATTTTTGAGTGCATCTTGATTGGCTACATGGGTCGTCTGATTCTGATTCAGGTTCCTCGTTTGAGACTGTTGTGGATGACGATCCAGGGAATTCCTTTGCTCTGCTGCAGGATACTCC